TCCCCCATTGACTTTGCTTGGCAGAAGGTTGCAAAAAGGGATCACATGACCCCAGAACCACTGCAACACGTCATAAATACGAGCCAGTTGCCAACTGTGACTATGCTGCAAAGATCATAAGTTTGAAAACTGGTCTTCATTCACTTTTTTTTTTCCAGTGTCGTTGTAGCTACAAAAGGTCATTAAACCAATAGTTGTAAGTCAAGGGCTACCTGTAACTGAGGTGAGAGTTTCTCCTTCTTGCAATGTTGTATTGTTGTATTCTACATTTAGGCAAGAAAAACCAAATGTACAGGTATAGTATAGGGGGTACCTTGCTCAATAGTAGTAACTGTGAGAGGGACCTCGGAGTCCTAGTGGAGAATCATTTAAATATGAGCCAGCAGTGTGCTGCAGCTGCCAAAAAAGCCAACACAGTGCTAGGCTGAATTAACAGAGGGATAGAATCAAGATCACATGAAGTATTAATACCACTTTACAATGCCTTGGTAAGGCCACACTTGGGATACTGCATCCAGTTTTGGTCACCACGATGTAAAAAAGATGTTGAGACTCTAGAAAGAGTGCAGAGAAGAGCAACAAGGATGATTAGGGGACTGGAGGCTAAAACATATAAGGAACGGTTGCTGGAATTGGGGATGTCTAGTTTAACAAAGAGAAGGATGAGGGGGGACATGATAGCAGTGTTCCAATATCTCAGGGGCTGCCACAAAGAAGAGGGAGTCAAGCTATTTTCCAAAGCGCCTGAGGGCAGGACAAGAAGCAACGGATGGAAACTAATCAAGGAGAGAAGCAACCTGGAACTAAGGAGAAACTTCCTGACAGTTAGAAAAATTAACCAGTGGAACAACCTGCCTCCAGAAGCGGTGAATGCGCCAACACTGGAAGTTTTTAAGAAGAAACTGGACAGCCATTTGTCCGAAATGGTATAGGGTTTCCTGCCTGAGCAGGAGGTTGGACTAGATGACCTCCAAGGTCCCTTCCAACTTTATCATCATTATTATATTATTATTATTATTATTATTATTATTATTGTGACATTCAGTACACATTTGCTCATCCCTGGGTCCAGCATATTTGTCTCTAGAGGAGGGTAGTGCAAAGAACTGAAGTATTCATGGAGACTGTCTAGTATCGGGGAAATCAGGAAAATCAGGCAGTTCAATGAGTATAAAGATTTATTGCAAGCTTAAACTCTCTACAAGAATCTCAGCCACTAACAGTCAAGGGAAATGAGCGGGAGATAAGAAAGTCATTCAAGGTGGGCTGGACATAGATCTCTTGTGGGCACACAGGGACTTCTGACTGATGACATGTTTGACCCCTCCTTCAGGCTCAGCTTAGTTATCTCCAGAGAGACCAATTATTCTGTACAGGCCAACTGATTTACATGATTAGCTCTCCCTTCACTATTTGTGTCCTCAGTTTCACTAGAGCTATGCAAATATAATACTCTGATTAAGCCAAGAGATCAATAATTACTGGCGGGATAACACTTCCTTTCTACAATTAAGCTGCTGGTCTTACATCTAGTTGAGCAGAGAATCTCAGTTTGAGAAAAACAAGAACCCTTCAAAAGCCCTTTGTTGACCCTTCATTTGAGCAGCAAGATGACCTAAAACCAGTGGTGGGATTCAACCGGTTTGCCCCAGTTCGGTAGAACTGGTAGTTAAATTTTGCTGCATTCGGAGAACCAGCTGGCTTCCAGAAGTCCAGTCTAGGTCTCAGAGGCCTCGAGGAGGCCTCCCAGGCCTAAAATGGTGCACCGGAAGTGCGTGGATGCCACTTCCAGAAGTTTGTTCTAGGGCTTGGAGGCCTGGAGGGGGCCTCCCAGGCCTAGAATGGCCCACCGGAAGTGCGTGGATGCCACTTCTGGAAATCCGTTCTAGACCTCAGAGGGCCAGGCCTGCATCGAATAAGAGAACCAGTTGTTCAGGTATTTGAATTCCATTACTGCCTAAAACTAGGTGCAGACATTCTCATCTACATTTAAAGGTAAAAGTTCTCATCTACATTTAAAGGTAAAAGTTTCCCCTGTCTAGTTGTGTCCGACTCTAGGGGCGGGACTTATCTCTGTTTCTTAGCCAAGGGAGCTAGTGTCATCCAAATAATTTCTGTGGTCAAGTGGCCAGCATGACTATAAGCCAAAGGACATGGAACACTGTTACCTTCCTGCCAAAAGTGGTACCTATTTATGTACTTGCATGCTTTCGACCTGCTAGGTTGAAAGGCACTGACACAGGTAACAGGAGCTCACCTCGTCGTACATGCTCGGATCTCAAACCCAGACTGTCAGCTTTCCAGCTGATAAAGCTCAGTGTCTTTAACCACTGAGCCATCGCGCCCCTTTCACCTGTTACCTTTTGTCCTCATCTCTTCCCATTTACATTTCTGATGACTGGGTTTTGGTAAAGCAATGGCAGATGTACCAAAAAAGAAAAGAAAAGATATCTTTATATCTTCAGAGTCGTGAAGAGTCGTGAACGTGTCCTGAACCATTCTTTTTTGTCAATCACCACAATAGCAAAATGTTTTCAGTGATTTACTAGTTTTTTCCCCCCCGAAATTACTTTTTTTTAAAGGAAAATAAATCTGGAAACCTTGACACATCAATCGTTTAGCAACTGTTTTGTTCAGCCTAGCGACTACCCCAGCCTTCTCCTTCCTTCTCAATTTTTCTCACTCTCTTTATTAGTCTTGACTACTTCTATTCCCTTGCTACTAGCAACAATTTTGCCCGAGAGGATTGTCAACATCTCAAAGGTGTCCCCCATCACATACTAGATTGTATGGTCACTGCCTGGCTTTGAACTAGTGAGTGAGATGGAGGCCGTCCAAAAATTTAATAAATAAATAAATAGCTTCTATTTGAAAAAATGTGACCTCTGTCACTGAGCTATCAGAATATATGTGTTTTAGGATGGAAATAGACCTCTATAGCTACCATACGTTGGCTTATTTTATGGTCTAAGACGATAAGGTTGTGAGAATTGGTCTGGCTGAGACAGGAGACAGGAGAAATAGCCAGTATGTCAAACACAGAAGTTAACAAACTACACCTTGAGTTCCATATCTTAAATAAGATTAAAGTTTTCATGGATGTGCTAGACTTAAAAGAAAAAAAAATATGTTGGTCTTTATGACTGAGTTCAGGTCAATTGTAAATATAGCAGCTGAATTGGCATAAGATGCCACATTTAGTGCTAAGTCTGGTTAACATTCTTTTTGTGTCTTAATAGGCTGTGCAAAAGTCTGCCCCATTTGGTTAATCTATGGTTCATTGTATGATTCCATGCACTAAATAAATAGGTTCATTCGGCAGCTAGATTGAGTTGCGTGAACACAGCCATAAAGAATAGCTGCCATAATCAAGCCATCTAAATATTATATGCAATCTTTATCTTCACTGCTTACTTAAACATAGAATTGTTCTTTTCTAAAAGGAAAAAAAAGGCTACCTTAAATTTAGCTCAACTCACAGCGACAATGCAGACAAATCTGTGTTATTTTCTTTGCAACATTATGGATGTGGTTTCACATTGCCTTCTTCTGGAATATATATTTATTTTCCAGCTCCTGGATTTTCTGATGGTTTATCACTAAGATATTAATCAGCCCTCACTTTGTTTAGTCTTTTGTCCAGTTCCACAATTAACTAGGTCCCACCCTCTACTGCAGGGCTGTCAAACTCGCAATGTCACGTGATGTGTTGCGATGTAACGTGATTTTTTTTCCATTGCCGGCAATAGGGTGGGCGCAGTTTCGCCATGACGTATGCGGCCTGCGGGCTGGCAGTTTGATACCCCTGCTCTACTGTGACTGTCTTTTCTACAATAGCTCTTTTCAGAGAAGGCATAAGAGAAGCCTTCGTCTCTGAGGACACAATTTTTAGTATCATCCAAGATTTGTTCCTGCCGTTCAGATAACAGAGGCTACATCTTCTTCATTCTTTAAATTCTCAGATAAAATTTGTCAACCTACAATGTTGGTGGACACTCTGCAGTATTTTATTAGTTTGCTTGAATCTGTGTACCTTCAAACTTTGCCTAGTTTAATGAAAAAAAAGGACGAGGGGTGACAGGATAGCAGCGCTCCAATATCTAAGGGGCTGCCACAAAGAAGAGGGAGTCAAGCTATTTTCCAAAGCGCCTGAAGGCAGAAACAATGGATAAAAATTTATCAAGGAGAGGACCAATCTAGAACTAAAGACAATTTTTCTGACAGTGAGAATAATTAATCAGTGGAACGACTTGTCTCCAGAAGTTCTTGGTGCTCCAACACTGGAGGTTTTTAAGAAGAGATTGGTCAACCATTTGTCTGAAATGGTATAGGGTTTCCTGCCTGAGTGGAGGAGAACTAAAAGACCTCCAAGGACTCTTCCAGCTCTGTTGTTCTGTTCTTTCTTGGCCCCTTACTCCTAAAATTCAGGACATGATCATGTAGTCATATGTCTGTACCACGTTATACAACAATGTTGTACAACTAGATTTTATTGAGTTCTCATCTTACCAGAGCTCCGTGGTTGTTTCCAACTGCGTGTGTTAACCCACAAAATGAAATGGCAAACCTATTCAACAAATCAACATTAGCTTGACTAAGACGGCTTAGTTAGTGCTAGAAGGGTTTTCCAGTGAAGGAAGCAAGAAAAGAAAAGAAAAATACTGATCCCATCACAGATACAAAAAAGGCAGATCTGGAATCTGATTCTCAGCATTTGAAGACCAATTATTCAAGGTAGATGACCAAAGAGAGAAAGGACAAAGAAACTTAATGTGGAGATGTTTCCATCTTCTCAAAAGCACCAAGAGTTGGCCCTTTGAATGCTTAATAACTGAAGCACTTGATTCTTTCCCCCAAATAAATAGGGTAGGAGTATGTGCATGCTGTGTCACCATTAGCCTATGCCATATTTTTTTCTCCTGGTAATATAGCACTCCACTGATTCAGAAACGGTTGTCGTTTTCTGCAAAGAGTCCGGTTCTCCCCTAAGGCTCCTGGTCCTATTTAAAATAGTTGAGTCCTGCCACGAGAAAGAATTTTTCCAGGAACAGTTCAGAATCCAGCACGGCTATATGTGCAGCTCGCCCAATCAGCGTATTAGCGGTGTTTGGCAAGGCATGAAATACATTGTGACGGATTAAAGTGCAGTCCTTAGCTCCCACGACCGGCTGGAGAAGGTTATTGATCATCTCAGCATAAACGGGACCTTGGAAAATTGAAAAAACAAAACAAATATCATCATCATTTGTTGGACAATATCTTAGAATATAGACTCATAGGATTGAAAGGGACCTAGGAGGTCTTCTAGTCCACCTTCCTGCTCATGGTAGAAGACCTTACACCAGGGATCTTCATACTTGGCCCTTTGATGACTTGTGGACTTCAACTCCCAGAATTCCTCAGCTAACATGCCTGGCTGAGGAATTCTGGGAGTTGAAGTCCACAAGTCATAACAAAGCCAAGTTTGAAGACCCCTGCCTTACACCATCCTGGTCAAATGATTGTCGTCTATTTTTGAAAACTTCCAAAAGGTAGCTTTGATTTGGTTCTGAAGTTCCAATTGCCGGGCTCCCCCTATGGACACCTGACCACATTTGGAGTCCTTGGCAACCAGTCCATAATTATGCCCGTTTGCATCATCCTACGGTCACATGACTGCAATCTAAAACTTTTTTTTTTTTTTTTTGGCCAAAAAATGGCATGCACTTCCAGTTTCCAGCAAAAACGCCCCATAGCGGACAATGGATTCCCTTAATGACTGTGATGTTCACTTAATGACTGAAACTGTAATTTTATGACTGCACTGGTCACTTAATGACTGCTGCAAAAAATGTTCTAAAATCAGTTTGGTCACCTACGTTACAAACATCACCACGTATTCTCGTAATTTTCAGTCTTAATTACAGTTATAAGTCAAGGACTAGGTATTTGCCAATAGACCAGTTAAGATAAAAGCATGATCATGATCATCATGATCAATGATAACCATCATCATTCTAGCCGTTGTCTATCCACTGCAGAATGAAGGCCTCTTCTGCACGTTTCCAACCAAGACTCTCTTGAGCTTTCCTTGGCCAGTTGGGCCCGCCATCCTTGCTGATGTTGTCGCTCCATCTTGTTTTCGGGAGATAAAATAGTCTTAGAAATTTGAAATGAATGCAGTGGATAACTCGACTTAGAGGGACTCTCACCTGTATGTCTGTCTTTCAAGGCGGATTTACACATTTCTATTCTTGCAGAATGAAATGGGACATAGCGGTCCTGGGGAGAGGCAACAAGGACTACATTTTTGAAATACTGAAGACCTGCAAAAGAAAGAGAGAAAAAAACAGAAAGACAGAGAGAGACAGAGAGAGAGAGAGAGAGACAGAGAGAGAGAGAGACAGAGACAGAGGGAGAGACAGAGACAGAGAGACAGAGACAGAGACAGAGAGAAAGAAAGAGAGAGAGAGAGAGACAGAGAGAGAGACAGAGAGACAGAGACAGAGAGACAGAGACAGAGAGAGAGACAGAGAGAGAGACAGAGAGACAGAGAGAGAGACAGAGAGACAGAGAGAGAGACAGAGAGAGAAAGTTTGATTCATGGCAGACCTCTTCAGATTAGAAAATTGAGGAATTAAACTGTACCTTGAAAGACATGAATAAAATTGGGGTTAAATACTCCCCATTGCATTCTGTCATAAGGGGTCAGGCATGGCACCCTCTCACCTGTTCAGAAAAACCCACCTGTTTTTTGGCTAAGCTGGTAAAGGAAACACTTCCGCAGATCGGCATTGTCCCTGAAAGTCAGCTGCAAAAGGGAGTCAGATTTCTTCAGCTTTTGCATCAACCACAAACCTGGGGGGGGGGACAAAAGAGAGTTGATCTGCAAGAACAGCCATCAGATGAATTAGTGTGGAGAGATTCGGTTTTTCTAAACATTTCTTTTACGGATCACGTTTATGAAGAGGGGGATTTTGTTATCTGCATTTCATAAGGGGTTGAGCCTCTGCTTCCTACCCACTCAGTAATCTTTCACTAATTATTTGCATTTTGATATCCTTTACTGATTGATAGCCCAGGGGGTGTTAGCTCCCATTCCATGGACCTACATATTTACCCATTTCACCTGCCAAGAACCCATCCATCCTAATGAGGGATGCATATGCTGAAATTCTTGTCTTTCTTCTCAATCGATCTTTGCTCTTTGAAAAATCATGCTTGGAAAAGAACTACATTCAATTAAGAGAGATGCCCGAGAATTTGACATCTTATTGTCTATGACATATATTATCATATATTATTGCCTTTACCCTATCCACACCCATTGGTTCTTTCAGACCTTACCCATGGATGATTTCAGGAACTCTTACCTGTACTAACCAAAGTACTGTTGTTATACAGCGTTCCCAGGTGAGGTCCAGAGAGGGACAGGAAGGTGTGTAGCTTATTGAGGTAATAACGAAATCTGGGCCGGGTCAATACTGATCGGATGATCACATTACCGAGTGAGTGACCAATGAAGCTACAGAAATGCAAACAATACAACTTGTACATTTTTTTTGGCATGGCTTAAACATTTTCTATCTATCTATCTATCTATCTATCTATCTATCTATCTATCTATCTATCTATCTATCTATCTATCTATCTATCTATCTATCTATCTATCTATCTACTATCTCTCATTCTCTATCTATCTATCTATCTATCTATCTATCTATCTATCTATCTATCTATCTATCTATCTATCTATACTCTATCACTATCTATCTATCTATCTATCTATCTCTGTCTGTCTGTCTGTCTGTCTATCTATCTACTCTCTCTCTCTCTCTATCTATCTATCTATCTATCTATCTATCACTATCTATCTATCTATCTATCTATCTATCTATCTATCACTATCTATCTATCTATCTATCTATCGATCTGTCTATCGATCTATCAATCTATCTCTACACACACACACACATATTGATGATGTACCATCAAGTTAGTATCAAACTCTTAGTGACCACATGAATAGATTTTTCTCCATAACAATCTGTCCCTAATGTGGTCCTTCATGTTCTTCAATGGCACACCCATCACCACTATGACTGAGTTCATCCCTCTTCAAGCTGCCCTTCTTCTTCCACCTGTCCCAGCATTACAGCCTTCTGCAGCAGCAGGCTACAAAGGGGAAGACCACGATTTCCACCATGGCCTTAAGCATGAAGACCTTTGAGGGATTTTAGGCTGGTGACTCTTCCTCAGCCATAAAAATAAGGCAGTGGCAAACCACTTTAAAAATGTTGCCAAGAAAACTTCAGTAACCAGGAATCAAGGCTGACCTGATGTGTTTATGGAGCTTCTCAACCATTCAGTTCATGGTTGACTCAAAGGTGCCTTTTTCCAAAAGGCAATTGGACTTTCTTTCTTTCTTTTTTATTTGAAAATGTTTTGCTTCTCATCCAAAAGCTTATTTAGTCCTTCAGTGAAACATTTTCAAAGAAAAACAAAAAACAAAAAAGTCCAGTTGCCTTTTGGAAAAAGCGCCTTTGGGATAAGGCTGACTTGAGGCCAAAACTCAAACAAAATCATCACCCTTCAGTACTTATATGGAATAAATACATAATCTTGGTAACTACAATAGGAATGTCCCAAGTTATGCTAAGTTTGTTAAGACATCTTCAGATTCTTAAGGGGCCTTTTCCTGTATTTCTCTCCGCCTGAACTAATTTTCCATTCACGAGACGAAGGGTGAAACAACTTTCCTTCTTGCTTTTTAATTCTTTTCCCAGTCTCTCACATCAGGAAAGGATTCCTACAGTATGTGGCCCCCATAGCCCATTCCCTTCTTCTTGCCCTTTTACCTGATACGTGATATCGACAAGTTGTATAGCTGAATATGTTGAATTATTTCATCCAGCAAGCGATCCGTCATGGTATCAAAGTCTGCAAAGGTATCTGTCTGTGAAAAGAAAATGGGGTTGGGGGGAGAATTTCCCAAAGTTGGGGGGTCTCTCCAGATCCTTTGCTTCACCTGAACTGATAATTAATAACTTCCTTTGAAGCTGAATCTCTCCAGTTTTCCTTGATATTTTGAAACGAAAGAATCCACTGAATCACGAAAGACACAGACCAAATTTGCAGATCTCTATTTTTAGAAGCCAGAGGGCAGCACATAGAGGACAATTTTTTCCCCAACTTAACCTATCCTGCTTTCCTGTTGCTATCTTCTATATATCTATTGCTTCTACCCTTTATATTTCAAGGAAATATATACTTAATTTTGTTGTGAGTTACACAATGACAATAAAGATATTCTATTCTGAAGATGTATTGCTTTTTGTATCCTTCATGGCCATTAGCCTGCCCAATGCACGTTCATTAAGGAGAGGATGGTATAGTT